GGATCGCAGGTTGGAGGGGTCGGACTCCGGGATCTGCAGGATGCGGCACACGGCGCGGATCGGCCGCACCAGCTTCTGGGCCAAGGCCGTGGGTTGCGCCATGGGACGCCGAGACTCCGTGCTGCGCCGCGGGGAGGGCCGGGCCGAGGCTAGGAAGCGGGTGTCCCCGGAGGGAGAGGGGGAGCCGGGCCGGGGGGAACGCGCGCCCCGGGTCGGGATGGCCGAGTGGGGGGAAAGGCCGAGGGGCCGGGGGAGGGGGTCGTGCCTGGAAGGGGGGCCGATCCCGCGACCCGGGAGAGAGGCACCAGCGAGGGCGCAGCACGGCGCAGCGCGGCTAATGGAGGGAGAGCCCGGCGGAGAGCGCAGCAGGACCTCCGATCGCCATCGCCAGACGCGCAACTGAGAGTGGGGAAGCTGCTCCGCCGGTTTCCTCCTCCAGCACCCTGCGGGAAACAGGAGCCCGTGATTCGGCGGCCCCGCCTGGGCCTGCCCCCTCCCGGGCCCCGGGGGCTTCCGCCAACGCCCCGGCGATGCCACCGGCTGCGCACGGGGAGAATGAGCCCTTTGTTCCCCCCTCCCCCCCGCGGCACCCGGGCGCCTGCCGAGAGAGGCTCCCCCGGGGCAGCGTGCCAGCTTCCCAGCTGCCCCACCCTCCCGTGGGCCCGGCCCCGGAGCCTGGCAGGCGGGCAGCACCCCCACTATAGGTGCCAAGCCCGGGAACTGGAGCAAAGGGCGGGAGGGGCCGGACCAGGCCACGATGGGGCGGGGTGCCCCCTGGGGTGCCAGGGCAGGGCGGCTGGGAGGGGGCAGTGCCAGAGCTGGCAGGGGCAGTCGGGTTCTCACGGGTCAGTGATGGGTGCTCTGACCCATGCCAGCCACCCGGTGCCTGCTGGACCACTAGCTCCTGGTCCTCTTCAGCTCTGGCACGTGGGCACATCCCGCTGGCCCAGGTCTGCCCTGCCTGGTCCTCATTTGGTCAAGCTGCTCTTCACTATTTCAGACCTAAGCCCCTTCCCGAGGGACAGTGTCCTGCCTTGGCAGTTCTAGAAGGGTGTAGGCTCTAGAATGTCCCTGCTCTGAGGGCCTCGGTTTCACCAAGTGTCCGAAAAGGAAGTGGGACCAGAGGTACTCCACCACCTGCTCTAGCTCCGTGTTCTGGGGGTCTACCCCATCCTGTGCTCCTAGTGTTTCCAGGCCCAGCACTGGAGAGGAGCCCATGGGAGTGGCTCCTGGGAGGGAGCAGAGAGGAGGAGAGGAAATGGGAAAGCAGGGCACCCTCCACCCGAGGAAGCATCCTGGCTCCTCTGCGGGGGTGGTTCCAGAGCACAGACACAAACAGACAGATTCAAACACACACAGACAGATTCAGACACACACAGAAACCCACACGCCCAACGGGTGCTTCCCTTCCCCTCAGGCACCCACCTCCCACCCTGAGACTCCCCTGCCTCCCTGTGGAAGCCATCCTTGGCCTGCCTTCACCCAGTCTGAGACAGAGGCAGGGCCACCCCACCCAGCCCCATTCCATGGAAGGATGAGGTCTCAGATGCCTCTAGCCTTGTCCCAGGTCACACCGCCATCCCTGGAGAGGGAAGCCGTGAAGGGCCAGGAGGGAAACTTCCTCCCAAAGACTGGATGGAAGCAGGGATCCTTCCATCAGCTGAGAAGAGGAGGGGTCCTGTGGGAGGAGGCCTGAAATGTCTGGCACCGGCAGGACTGGGGTCATGTTGGCATCGAGTCTCCCAGCCCCTTTGCCTCCCCCCAGAGGCTGGCTCTGTGGCAGGGCAGGATGCTAGGTGTTGTTTACACGACTGAGTTATTAACACTCCCTTCCTCCCCCAGCTCCCCCGAGGGGTGGCCTGGACCTGAGTTTCCCAGGGGAAATGATCCTGGAGGGTCTAACAGGGACTGCAGTCCCGAAGCCCCAAGCCCCAGCCTCCAGCTCCAGGCTGGCTCCAGGGATGTGGATGGGGGCTGGGGTGTGCCTGTGGTCCCCCATCTGTGTCCTCTGGCAACCAAGCTTGTGGCAGAGTCTGGGGGGAGATTCCTGTGGCTTGAGGCCTAGAAGAGGCTGGGCAGGACAGGGTGGGAGCCTGGGCTGTCCAGGGCCTCAAGGGCCTGTCACTGTCATCTCCAAAGGGGGAACGGGGACTGTCCCAGTGGAATGGGACAGACACCTCCCCTCACCCCATTTGCCAAGTCTGCTTTGTCAGATCAGTTTTTGGACTTAACCAGGACCCTCAGGACAGGCTCCTGAAATGCACAGGGGGTCGTGGGAGGTGGGGTGGGGGAGTCCCTGTCCACCCTCAACCAGCTCCCCATCACGCTCTACAGCCGGGGCCCCAGGCCCACGGAGCCCTTGTGGCTGGCTGTTCTGTGCCTGAGGACAGAGCAGATCTGAGGAGATACACAAAGACACAAACACAGAGGGAAAGCCACACAACGTGTGGCCACAATGCCCGATCCGGGGACAAAGGCGAGCTGACCCGCACCCCCAGGCTCGCGTGGGCCCACGCCGGCCCCGCACCGACCCCTCTAGAGCGCTGACACACACACACTGATACACACGTTCCCGCTGACACGCGCAGCAGCACTCACGAACCAGCTGCCCTCGCGCTGTCCCCAGAGCCCCTTACCTGGGCAAGCACAAGTGCCCCTCGGGTGGAGCAGCCCCCTGCCCAGGGGAGGGCAGCAGGCAGGGGCGGGGGAAGGAGCCCCGGAGAGTCAGGCCAAGCTGCCACTAATCCGGGCGGGGAGAGGGGGGGGCACCCACGTCAGAGCGGGGACTGCCGGGTGGAGGGCATCTGAGGACATCCCCTCCCACACACGCGGCCGTCTGGGCACCTAGCCCTACTTCCCCAGCCCCTCCATCCTTCAGACAGCTGAGGCTGGCCTCCCCCCCACCCCACCCCCCACCCTTGTGGCAACGCCTGGGCGGGGCAGTGGGGGGAGGGGGAATACCGGGGGAGAAGTTCCGTCCCCGAGGACCCGTGGTGGGGGAGGGGCAGGAGGAAGGGAAGTG